AATACACGCGCGTCGTGGTTTCTGTCTGTCTCTCTCTCTCTCTCTCTCTCTCTCTCTCTCTCTCTCTCTCTCTCTCTCTCTCTCTCTCTCCCTTTCTCTCCTTCCAGTTATCTCCCTCTTTGTACGAGTGCAAATACAAGGGTACTAATGTGTGTATGTGTGTGAGTTTGTGTGTGTGCATTTATTTGTTTGTGTGCGATTTGGCTCTAAGATACAATAAACGATAGGTTTACAAGCTCAGAGTAGATTGTCATGGCCATTGGTCTTAAAACGAAATTTGTGTCAACAGGACTTGTGTGGAATAATTGGTGGAGTTTGGGCTTTAAAAAACCTCTTTAAACTTTCTTAGTGATGGGGCTGCACCCACAACGACTGGTGGAATCATGGTAATAGAAAGGTGGACAAGGTTAGCAACAGCAACAGTAACCAAAAGAAAAACTTGCAAAAGCAACAATAACGACGACCATAACGAGAACGACCTTAAAAAAAACACGAAAACAACGGCATTAAAACAGCGACAACAACTACAACAACAACAATAATCTCTCTTGCCTTTTAAACTCCCAGTAGAGCATACGCCATCTACAACATTTCTCCAGCGAAGCCTGTCCTGTGCATCCTTTTCTAGCTGTTTTCATTGTGTCCCCGCCTTTTCCATTTCCGCATGTACGGCTCACCTCCAGGTCATCTTTGGTCTTCTTTTCTTACGTTTTCCTTGTGGATTTCACGTCAAAGCTTGTCTGATGATGCTTGTCAGGGGTCTCCTCAGGGTGTGTCCAACCCATTTCTATTTCTTCACCTGTATGTCTTCCTTTACTGACCTTTGGCTTGTTCTTCCCCACAATTGAGCATTTGTGACTCGATCGTACCCCTTGATCCCCACTATCCTTCTCAAATATCCATTTATGAAGCTCTGCTGTTTCCGTGCTGCTGATGCTGTGAGCCTCCATGTCTCTGAACCATAACAACAATAATAATAACAACAATAACAACAATAATAGTATCGGCAACACAACACCAACAACAGCAGCCTCGACATCAGCAACAAGGACAACAACAACAACAACTAAGATTCTGACAGCAACAATGGTAACAACAAAGCAATGAAACCACCCCAACAACTCCTCGGAAATTGGAAACAACCAAAAAATAAAGAACCCCAACAAAACGGCGATCACCTTCATCAATCTGGCCCTTGACAACCCTTGACTTTAAACAAGCCACGTATGTGTCGGTCGCCGCAGTTCGAGAACTGAGATTAAGATGCTTCAACCAGCGTACTTAACACTGAACCGAACCAACACAACATGACCTCCTACAGTGGGACTCCTAGATTCTCTCAGACTTGTGTCACGAGGACGGAGTTTGCCAGACGTTAACTCTTAAAGGACGAAGAGGACAAACAATGATAAAGATAATACATGTATTTATTATGTCTGATCAGCACAGGACCAAAGGCAGCGTTGTGGCACATTTCCAACCATAATACATAATAAGTCAAAAACACGAATTTGAATATGTTATTGTAATGCTTTAAAAGTTTTAGACAAAGAAAGCAGAATTGAAAAATCTGTGTGAAAAACATAAGAAACAGCACGTCGAAGTACCAAAACTCATTGAGTTAAACATTATCTTATCCTCACTCCACAAACCTCAAGCCTCTTTAACTCTTAGCACACGGAAGGCTATTCTTCCTTTGTAAGCAGCCATTAAGTTTGTCGTCCAAGTTTTCAGCATCACACACTGCTCTATAACTCCGCTCCTACTTAACTTATTTTCATAAAATAAACACTAATCTAAGTATAAATGAATGTTCAAAGCAATAAAGAACCAGTTGGATTATAGATAATATAAATTTGCTGAGGTTTGGTACATTTTTTTGTAATGACTGTAAAAAAAAAATTAAAAAACCCACAGTGGTGCTGCACATACGCCAGCTGAACTGGTGGGCCGTACTCGTAGAGTTAACAATCGAAACGATCAGAAAATCGAAGCTCGTCAAGTCTCAACAGGACTAAGTGTCCTTGCGATCTGAAGATCGAGGGGTGATCTGTTTAGACAAAGATTTTTCCGCGAGAGTCGCTGTTCCCACAGTGTTGTTGTTGTCCCATATAAAGCGAGTTGATGGCCACAGATGGCTCTAGGTACGTTCCGTAGTAAGATCACTTACTGATAACCCAGTCCTCCCCCCTCTCTCCCCACCCCCTCCCTCCACCTTTTTTCCACAACTTTCGGAGCCCTAACCCTCAAAGCCCTACTTCTCCCAAGGAAATATGCAACTGAATATTGAACGAAACAAAACAAAACTACGACCATCACAACCCCACCTATCATCTTCCTTTCGAAATAAGTTGTTTTTTTTAAATCGCGTCGAAGAAGACCCCCCCCC